TTCTCCCACCACATTTGGCAAACAGAAAGGAATCCACTCACAAAGAAAATAAATTTGGGCCAAGTAAAACATTTTACTCAGAATAGAAGATAATATTTTGTGTCATAAGAACAACAGATGAAAATAAAAGTTAGAAGAGAATTGAAGGAGCTTTTAAAAAGTTCAAGGGAAATGAACAAAATGTTTAAATTTTAGAAAGCCTTGTTTTTCTCACTTCTATTTTCTATCACAAAAGTTTTGGCTTTAAAATGTTGTTGTGACATTGACACTGTTGGGGGCAAGAATTTGAATGAGATATCAAGGATCTGATTCAGTGTGCTCATAAGGATGGACTGATCTGCAGTGGTTTGCCCCAAGATTTTGTGCATCGGTTCAGTGGGAGCAGAACGAGGAATTGCTGTTGTGCTTGTGGATGACGCTGTGGCCAGCTGCAGAAATCCAGCTCTATGCTGTTAGATTTTGGCAGAGCTACTGGGAGTCCCTCATAGCCCTGGGAAGCTATGCCTGGCATGGGATGTTGGAGTTACAGGAAATGGTTGTATAAATCTTCCAAGGTCTCCCCTTGCTTTAAGGAAAGACATAAATCTAGTTCTGATATATGGCAGATATATCAATTTGTGCAGGTGGTTCCCATGTCAAAATCCTTTCCAAGGTGTGTTGGTGTCTTGTGAAAGCAGTCCAGCCAGTCTTACTTTGTTCCTTTCAATTTTATATTTCCAAGACCTTGTCAGAAAGAGCCTCTTGTTTTTGCAGTTACAAAGAAGCAGAGAAGTACGTAAGAACAGGGGTAATATCAAAAAACAGCTGGTAAATGCCAGAGAGAGACCTCAAGCAGTAGAACCAGTGCCAAACAAAATTACGTAAGACAATATTTACCTGTCTCCAAGAATTTGTTACAGACAGTGCTAGGGGAAAAAAAAAAAAGTCCTGTAGATTGTTAGAGGGCTCCTAGAGCAGAAGGACATGAAAATGAATATCAAGACTTTAAAGAATAAAAGATGGAGCAAAGCTGCAGTCAGCCTGGGATCTTTCTGCGTTAGAGTGTCTTAATAAACTGGAGGCTTGGGAGGTTGTTTTGCAAGTTGAGGTAATTAAATGACACACCACAGTGGGTTAAGTGGCTTAGAAATGAATCCGACGCAGCTGTCGTGGAGCAGGTATAAAGCCAGTTGGATGTGCTTTGAATTTGGGTGGATATGTTGCTGCTGTGCCAGTTGGTGGGGGCACTGGCGTGCTGTCTCGAGCACCGTGGTGTGCAAGTGGCATGCAGCTGAAATGTAAGACGTGCAGCAGTGTGCCTGTTTGTGCTAAGAGTGGTGAAATGTTGGCTTTTGTGTCTTCTCTACCAGCCCCACTGTGGCTCTGACAGCACTGCTTTCACCTGCAGCTTTTTTCCATCATCTAGCTAGTGACAGATGAATACGCACACGCTTGTCCATGACACTTTGTGGGGCTCTGCAAGCCCAGGGGCTTGTTACATGGAGCACAGCCCTTTGACACTTCCCCTGCAATGCCCAGTCTTTGAAAGGGACCCACATGTGGCATCCTGTGCTGTCCTAGCACCAGCTGAGCTGAGCTTGTGTAGTTCTTGAGAAGAAAGGTGCCACTACCCTTAATGAGAGGAGCATGACTTGCCAGTTATTACATTCAGCTGGAGTTTGCCCAGTTTAATACTCAGAAGGTGTGTCATCTGTCCCCCAGAGCACGGGAATAGCGGGCAGAGAACAAAAGCAGGAGGTGGCAGCTTACAAATTAAAGAAGACTTTCTTCTTTTTTTCCTTTCCTTTCTTTTTTTCTTCTTTTTTTTTTTTTTTTTTCTCTCTCTCTCTTTTTTTTTCTTTCTTTTTTTTTCCCCCTCCTTAAAAAACATAGCAAATTCACTGCTGTAAGATCTGAGTGTAACTGCCTATTTTCTGTTTCCTATGTTTTTGAACATATTTGACTATGTCTGGGTTTGGGGCAGGACAAAAATCTACCTGCTGTGGGGCTAGACTGAGGGCTGGAAGAAACTTTCTCTGAAGACATTATCCTGATCTGCTCCCCAGATGTTGCTGTTGCCGTAGGTTTTCTTGTTCTGCTCACCACTGACAGTAGCCAACATTTGAACTTTGTTTGCCAAAACACACACCCATGTAAAATAGGCATATATGAGAGCACCACAACTCCTTGTCCTTGGCTCACTCCTTGCACTTTTAGTCACAGGACCATTCCCAAAGCACCAGCTGCCCTTCCTGCTCCCCAGAGCAGGGCTGGTGGCTGCCTTTGGACAAGGCTCATTGAAAAAGAGCCAGGCTGAATCGAAGTCAAGCAGCGTGCAGGGGAAAAGTCCCGCTTCACTAACCCAGGCAGGATAACTCCAGCAGAGACACGCATTTCAGTTTCCTGGCTCTCTGGGGGAAGGATGAATGGCAGACACTGGAAAGAGCTTGTACCATTGAATTTTTAAAATGTACTTTCTTTCACCTTAGCAGCGTCAGGCTTGCAAGTTCAAGGAGGAGGAGACAATGTCCCAGATTTTTAAGACAGGCACAAAGCTCATTCTCTTGTAAAAGACGATAAATCAGGGGGTCCTCTTATTTTCCCTCTGGGTTTTGAGGCTGGAAATATAGTAGAGCCAGCTCTCGGCTAGCAGAGATTTTGCACAGATCAGTTGGCATGAGCAGAAGAGAGCTCACTGCTGCAAAGAGAATCAATGTGCAGTAAGGATTTTGAACATATGCAGATATGATTTATGCTTTGCAGTGGTCTATAAGTACTGTCTTACACATCACAAGAGATCAAACACTCTTTAACAGTGAAAACTGTTCACACAGACCACAGAAAGCGCATTAGATACCCCAATATAATGCCCAGTCCAGCATGGGATGTGGTAACTAAAGATTTTCCAAACACCGGTCCCTGAAACATGTTCCTCCTCTCGCCTGACTGTGGCTGAAAGTCAAAGCACAGCGATATCTCTCATGAGATGACAGGAGAGGAATAAAACCTAAGCCAGCGAATTAAGGGGAGACAGCAGGGACTGGAGCAGGCAGCAGAGAAATGAAGCTTGCCAGAGTCTTGCTCTGACTGGAAAAGTCTTGGCTCTAAATGGGGACAGCTTGGCCCAGGAGGGCTAGAGGGGCTGGGACAGCAGCTGTATGGTGTGCTCCAGCTGCATGGGCACCCTGCTTCATGCACACTTTAGTTCTGTGCACGCTTCTGCACACCCAGCCACATCCTTGGGTTCCCTGCAGACCCCAAGAGATGACCACTGCTCATTCACCTCCATATTTCTCTCTCCTAGGGTTTGGGAAACAGAAACACCATGGCACAGCAGTTCCCACCTTGCAGCAGGAAACTTCTGCCCCTCTCCTCTTTTAGTCCTCAGGAGGCAGCCCTGGGGCTGTTCAGCCTTTCCCCTCCCAGGAGCAGGGGCAGCTGGAGCAGCCTGTAGCTGTGGCACTGCTCTGCAAGGGAATGGGATGCAGGGCTGTAGGAGCAACTGCTGTGCCTTTCACATGGATCTTGGCAAAGCAGAGCCTGCAAAGAGAGAAGTAAAGCAAACAATAATTAACATCATCTGCCTCCTGCTCCTCTTGAGCATTACCAAAGACACAAATCCCACTAGTAAATACGTAATGAACAAGGAAACATAGTGCGAACCCTGGAAACTCTCTGCTTTGCTTTTCAGGGATTGAAGTTTCATTGACTGGTTAGCATTGTTTTTTATTTTTCTATTTTAAATAACATGTACAACCCTCACAACAGGAGCTGAGGAAGGTGCTTATTTAAATGCGTCCCCTAAGATTTTAAATAGTAGCCCTGGTACCTCAGTGATCTTGAGCAAAACCAAACGTGTTGGGAGTTTGCATGATGCACATAAGCTAGCAGCGGCCAGCGGTCAGCCTTGCTCTGATTAATCACATTAATGAAGAACTGAAGCACCACAATAGCTGCTTTATTGTCTGGAAGTGTCTCAGTCCTTTCCAGCTGGCATGTTCATCTACCTCTCTGTAGCCAGCTATGGGACTTCTGACAGTCAGACCTTGGCCCATCAGTTGCAGGTCACCCTGATCCAAGTCAGGGTGCATTCAGAAAGTGCCAGGTTTGGAGCCTCTCAGGAGGTTGAATTTTTAAGGCTCTATCTTTTGTTTAACACTTTTCTGTGGGACAGGCTGTACTTTGAGAACAAAGAGCAGGGCTGAAATTAGTTCTTGGTCTCCTAGTTGCTGTAGCTGTTACTGTCCCAAGTAAAGCTGGGTCTCTGCCTGCTGTTCGCTTTGCCTGGCGATTGCTAGGTAGTAACTGGAAGTGAGGAGAGTAACCCTTTTTCTCTTAAAAACAATTTTTTTTTTTTTGGCTGGTTTGGTTTGTTTGTTTTAGCTATGAAAGCAAGTGATACGATGCAGAAGCTTACATTCCCTTCAATGGCAAGCTAAACTTCTGCACAGCCTTCTGGCAAACATGTTCTCCAAGCTCAGCCTCTCATTTTCACTCTGTCTCTCCCCAAAGTGAAAGGAGCTGTTGCAAAGTGCCTGTTTCTGCGGGCTGCACGTCCTGGGCTCTGGCTCTTTGTCATAGTCACACAGGATGGAAAAAGCATGTTCCAGTCTCTTCTCCTTCCCCAGTAACCAGGAAGCACAGAGGATGCTTCTTTGGCAAAACTGCCTGGATGTTTGGCTCTGTATGGTGTGTTGATTAATTGCATTTCCGTTTAATTTCACTTTTGGGATGGCTTGCATGGTCACTACAGTTATGGGGAAAGCAATGTGCAGACTCAGCTAAAATTCCTCCCTAACCTCTTGGATCAGTGCTGCAGGGGGAGAGAAGGGGAGGAAGTGCCCTGGTTGCCATAGTAATAAGCCGTTCTGCAAAAAAAAAACCAAAAAAACAGGCTTCTTTCATTTTGTCTTCCTCATGAAAAAGATTTCACCTCCCAGCTCTCTCTGAGCTGGGTGGGCATTAGAGCAATGCCTTTAAAATCAGTGTTACTTGTGCCCCGACCATACTCATCAGCTGGAGTGATGGGAACACTTCAGGCTCAATTTAGGAAAGTGAATGCTTGAATAAGCACAGGCTTCCTCTAAGCACCTCCTAAATGCCCTGCAAATATGCACCTTTGTAACGATTCCTTCTCTGCAATGATCCCAGAATGGTAAACTCCAGACTTCTGTATTGATATTTAAAATCTAATATCAGATTATTATTTTTTTCACCTGGGAAGTGAGTGAAAGGAAGAACGGGGCACCTGGAAATAGAGTGAGGCAGTTTCTCTACTGGTGTCTCTCTGGGATGCTCCAAAAGATAAAAGTTCTCTGATGCCAATTAACTCTAGCAGAGGATCTGCTGATGATTTTAAGTGGAACATCAAATCTCGTTGAGATAGAAATAACTCTTTTATTCCTACCTCAGTTCTCAACACTTTATCAAATTCTGCTCCTGGACTCATGCCAGGCCTTTTCAGAAATAATGAAATGATTATTCTTTGTTCCAAGCTGGGAAGACTTTATCCTGAAAAAAAAAAGAGCCTTGCATTTATTACAGTTTTACCCCTCGTTTTCATTAGTGACTCATTCCTGGATTAGCCTGGCAAATCTGTTTACTATTGTAGAGTTCATTGTATTTTTTCACCTTATATTTATTTTTCTTCTGTCCTACAGGGCAGTAAATTGCATGAAGGTGAAGGAAAAATGAGTTGAAAGCAAGCCAAGGAGGAGCAGAGGAGCAAGGCAAGTATCACGAAGATGAGGGACCCATGGGAACTGGTAACACCAAGGAGAAGGTAAAGAAGCAGCAGATTTATGACCAGCTGGTGAGAAGGCAGGTGGAGCATGGTCTGGGAAGCTTCTGGAGGAGTGTCCTGTGGGTTATAAATGAAGGTGAGGGAGATGGGAGACCTGGGCAGAAAACGGGGGTAACAGAAGCCAGTGGGGCTACTTGGAGTGAAGGTCAGTGATGGGCTTGCAGCTGGAACCTTTTTCTCCAGCATACAAAATCCATCAGTGCCACCATACTTTGTAAACATTTCTTGGCTTTGCCAAGTTGTTCATATCAGAAGCGAAGCAAAGAAGCTAAGAAGAAAAAAAGTTTTCTCAGTATTTTAAAATGAAACATTAGTTCCAAATGTCTACCCTTGGATGCTCCCTTCACTCGTTAAAAAGAAAGAGAGAGAGAGAGAGAAATGTTCATGCAAAGCAAAATCTGTTCCTTGTTGATTCAATGTTTCATTATTATAGAAATATTTTGCTATTTTTTGGAAATATTAAGACTATTCTGGTCTCTTTATTTTGGATTCAGGCACTGCCAGCAAGGCAAGAGGAAATGTTAAGGCCTTCAGTTATTTGCCTTCTGGAAATACCCCCTTAGTCTGAGGCTGGGCCTAAAAGCAAAAATTCTGGGATGGGGCTTTGGGGGTGGGTGGTTTGGTAGTCTGGATAAAACGTGGTACGTATGGGTTCAAAATGGGGTTGAACCTGAGGGTGGTCAGGCACGGAGACAACGCTTGTGGCTCAGGCAGGGTGTCAGCTGCAGGCCTGGAGGCCAGGAGGAATTTGTGGGAAGCATTGCTGTGTGTGTGTCCTATTTTTATACTTCTCCTGAGTCATCTGTATTCCCAGTGCTGGAGAGTGTACTGGATTAGATGCACTTTCGGTCTGACCAAGAGGTCACACTCACATTCTTGTTTCAAGCTTTTATGAAGACAGAGGAAACAGGTAGGGAATGACAAGTAACCCAGGCAGTCTTTCTACTTGTGCAGTTTATTTTTCCACACACACACACTCTTCTGCCTTGAGCATCTTTCCAGTGAAGGCATTAAGCCAGTTTATGAGGTGAGTGAGACTGGTGAGAATATTAGAATGGTGCAATTAGAGTTAATTAGATGTGCTGAAATGAAGTAATGAATCTGGATTTCCAACACCCACATAAGCACACCACAGATGAAAAGAAAAGGGAGAAATCCTGTGATAAGGAGTTTTGAGAGGCATCATTAAGATATACCGACTACTGAGCCTTTTCAGGCAGAATGGGTTCAACATGTAATGCAGGTAAGCAAAACACTGGGTAATTTAGACTAGAAGGAGCTTCTGGAGGTCCACCCTCCAGGCACAAAGCAGGGCCAGCTGAAGAAGGTTGCTCAGGGCTACACCTGGTCAAGTTCTGAATTTATCTCCAGAGGTGGAGTTTCCTCACTTCTCTTAACATCTATTTCAGCGTTTGACCACCAACATGATGAGAAAAATAACCTAGCAAGAGAAAGAAAATGAGATACAAGCAAGATGCTGGTGCTATGGTATGCAATCTATGGTGCTGAGGATCCCAGATCTATGGCAGTCACTCTGAATGACGTCCCCTTTGTCACCATGTGGTATGTTCCTGGAGCACATCTTACTGTCTGGTTTTGTCTTAAAAAGTCTGCTTTGCAGGCTCCTAAAGCTCTGTGAGAGGAGCAGCTGGGGAATTTTTCAAATGTGGACTCCTGCCTTGGATTAACATCCCAGTGTGCATGTTCAACATCGGCTGTACTATCCCCTCCGAGGCAGTGTTACTCAACACACGCTTTATAGCTGAGCAAATTCCTGAGTGCTTTTTAGGGCTAGGCCTGCAGGGGCTTGTAAATCTTCCCTTGGACTCTCATTAGCGCTTCCCTCTCTGCCCTTGTTTGCTCCCACAGGGGCCATGACAAGAAGGCCGTGTGAGATAAGCAGTACACACTGGGACACTCTGCTGCAGCTTTTCGTGAGAGCAGCTCCACACAGCAGCTCACTGAGTTCAGATGAAGGCAATGAAGGGTGTCTGAAGACTATTTATTTTTTAATTTTATTTTTAATAATTATTTTTAGTTCCATGGCTCAGCTGTTTCTCCTGGGAAGAGTAAGCCTCTGTGTGAGATTACATCAGCTGAACTTTCCAAATGATATTTTAATAACACTTTACAATAAAAAAAAAAAAAAAAAAAAAGGAAAGGAAAGAAGAAAGAGTCCCCAGACAGCCCACTGTTTTGCCCTTTTGGATCTATACAAGCTAGTTGTTTTTTTCCCCATCTTATTGCTAAGTTTCTACCAGAAAGTGCTTCTGTTGCAGCAGAGACTGGAGGTGGTTCAGCCTCACTTGTGAACCAAGGACATCCCACCACATTTAACCTCATAGATGTAACCTAATGACCACAAAGAGGGAAATTTCCATCCCTTGACCATCCCAGGACCATCCCACATGCTAGATCTTCTAAGACACTTGTTGCAAGAAAAATATAGATGCTTCCATCTGCAAGCACAACAATTTCCCCTGCAGAGAGATTTCTGGGAGTGCTATTTCCCTAATGCTTTAAAGAAACATGCACCTGCACAGAAACATGGATGTTTTCTTCGGAAATATTGTGTGGAGATTAGGATTCTTAAATATCAGTGGTCACTTGTCACCACAAAAGACTTTGAAGCAGCCCACAGGGAGGATCTGATCTCTGTATGTCCCTCCTTTTCCTGTGCCACAACAGCTGAGGGTTGCTTCATGACAGCCAGGTGCATGAATTGTTATCTCCACTACACAGATGTGGCAATGAAGGACAGACTGCTAGGAACGAAGCACTTTTAGGGCAGCACACACCATTAATGCTGTCCTGCCCAACACTGAAATATTTCAACATTTTCACAAATGAAAGGAATGAGACCAGTTTATTCACATGGTTTCCTGCAGAAGCAAGGATAATGTGATTTTGGTGGTGTCTGTCTCCCTTGCTCTTCTCTCCATCACTTTTTTTCCCCTCTGCTAGCTAGTTTCCACCAGATTTAGCAGTAAGGGAGACACCTCAAAGGTTATGTGTTCAAACAGGGTTTTGCCTCCTCAAAGAGATGGCCATGTAGGGGAGATGTTGCAAGAGTGGTCATTGCATCAGTGAAACAACTGAAACATGAGGTTCAGATTTATTAAGCACCACAGAATCCCCAGATGAGAGATGAAGCTTGCAAGCAAGGCATTCAGATCCCTCTTTTAAAGGTTTTTTTTTTTTTTTTTTGACTCCTCTTTTCACTTCTTGGGGACATAATTCTGCCTCATGAAGCTGAGGAGATGTTGGGAAGGGAGCAGTAGGGGACTTGGTGCTTTGGAACCAGCCTCTGTCACTGGATTTTCCTGTGGGTTGCTCAGCCGGTGGAACAGCAGTGACAAACCACCAAAAACAGTGTGTATAAATAACATTTTAAAATTAATCATCCCATTTCCTGCAAGTGATAAGAAAATTTGCCTTGTCTGCGAGTAATTTGCAGTCATTCATGGCAATTTCTAATATTTAAATACTAAGTAAATTAATTATTTGCCATTATTTTTAGTTAACTGCATTACTGTAATTGCAAGGACTAAATAAATCAATTACTTAAAAAAAAGAAAGCCTCAGACAAACATGGTAAATCAATTACTTACTATTTAATGGGAATTACTTGATGTTACAGAAAACAACAGAGGAACAAATCCTTTTATGACATCAGCAAAATTCAATCACTGTCTGGGGAAAGGGATTTCAGTGCAATGTTACATCTTTATTTAACTTACCAGATAACGTAATGAAATAGTGAGAACGCATGGGAACCACGAGCCCAGCCTGACCACCACACACTGCGCAGAGGGAGGCTGGGACATGATCTTCTGAACCATTTCAGAGGCAAGAAAAACACCCTTTGGTGGACAGCACTAGTGCCAGGAAAGCTGTGACAACAGATACGGTTAGGAGCTGCCTGGATAAATGCCACCTGTGCTGGGAAACAAATCCATTGTTAGAAATTTTTTGAGGAGGAATGAGGACTACATCGGAGAACATCATTGCTATGGCACTGGGAGGTAGTTGCAGCTAGCCTGCATCTGTGATGCATCTCCTCTCCTCTTGGGAGGGTCTGTTATCAATTCAGCAAATACCCACCACCTTGAGCCTTACCTCACCAAGGCAATAATGTCAGCAATAACCTGCTCTGCTGACAAGAGGCTCGTTCTGAGCACCATGTGTGCTGCTGGCCAGCAGGAGCCTTTGTGTCCGTGGACCTGCCAGCAATAAAAATAACTGCTGAGCTCTTCCTGGTAATTTTCCCTCTGAGGATGTGTTCAATTTGCATTCTCTATCCAGCCAGCAACTTTCACACAACTTGAAGGAGTTTAATTATCTTCAGGAGCTCAAATTATGTCTGATGAGCTTTAAATTGAGCAAGAGCTTCAGTATTAGTCATAAGAAGGAAGACAGGCAGATAAGGTATGCAGTATGCAAACCCTGTCTCATTATGAAAGTGGGGTTAGAGCCCACCAGAGCTCAGTTTAAATAGGTTCTTTATTATTTCTGGTCTCTAGTCTACTCTTCTCATTGCTGTTATGACTGGCATTTAAGCTTGCTTGGGGTGATGAGAAACCTGGCTAGAACCAGAAAATATGAGATCTTTACCAAGTTAAATATCACCCCTGTATTTTTGGATACTTTGTGAACTAGGTTATTATGAAAATAGCCCCCTTGGTGATGGTGGAATCAACCCAAAACACCAAGGAAAGAGGATTACACATAGTCTATCACAAGAACACCCAAAACATCATTATTTGTATTAAGGTTATATGTTTTAAATACAATTACTCAGGGGGAAAAAGAACATTTAAAATGGGATATTTTCAGAAGAAAACCCCATTCTGCACCTGTGTGTGCTGCTCCTGGTGGAGTCCCTTGACCTGGCAATCCTGCTCACACGACTTCTGTCCACTCCAGCTGACTCAGGAACTTGGACAAAGTAGGACAGGCTCCATGCTTTCTTCCTCAGCACCTATAACCAATGGGGTTTCCTCCAGGTAGAAATCCATGTGAGTTAACAGAAGCGCCAGCACAAAATGTGCCTAGTGGGGACCTCATCTTCACTGGATGGATTTAATTCCAGACCTGAGTTGCCACTGGAGTATCCATGAGGTCCACAAGTAAGACCAAGACCTGTCTGAAGACAGGTTGAAAGTGGCACTGGCTCGAGGGGGTACAAAAATCTCCTCGTGCCCATTCTTACACCTACCTAGGAAGGGGTTTCTCCAGCCTCTAGATGCAGGCAGGTAGATGACCGTAGCTATTCACAGCTCAAACCTAGCTTCATTTTTAATGCAGCCTGCTGGGAGCTCTCACAACATGCCTGAGAGGCTCCCCCCTCTGCAAGGTCTTTCCCAGCAAACAGGGCTTACTCTTGCCACTCTTACTAAAGTACTGTCAGAAATTATTGCATTACAATTGCTAAGCATTTAATGTGCCTCAGCTGCATCCCTGATTGCATCAATTAACAACAAATCAACTGAGGAGCCAATTTGGGTTCAAAATAGACTTAATGAGATGCCTCTGTTGCCTTTTTTTTGTTTGTTTGTTTTAATATACCACACCTGGAAGGTGGACATAAGTTTATTGTTATTGGTTTAGTCTTTGTCTTATAACAGTCCACTTTATAACCATGCTACGTGCTGTCCATGCAGTGAGAGTCTGTGCTACAAAGAGTTTAACCGTGATGTGTAGCACTGGGATTATTTTTCTTTTACAGAAATTAAGGCCTAGAGTCACCTGCAGAAAACACAGCATGCTGGAGCATAAAACCACTGATGATAGTAAAGTTCTCTAATAATATGGTAACAATGAGTATAAATTAGTATTTAATAAAACGTCTTTGAGCTGGATAAGTAACAAAGAGATCCAGTAGCAGCATGTCCTGCCACTGGTGGTGGCAGGCCTGGCTTTGTGCTGAGGCATGGATCACCTTGAAGAGTCCTGTACTGTAACGGTGATTGTGTAAGTGGTACCACAGCCGGTGTTGGTTGTATTGTTTTGCTCTGTTGTTAAAAAATCAAAAAGCTTTTCTTGTTTCTGACAAATGCCACCGATCATGCGGTGGTGCTGATGGAAGGAGTTCATCTCCCATCTCACCTGCTGAATGCCTTTGGAAGGCTTCATTACCATGCAAATAGAGATTGCACACAGCCTAATAAAAATACATCTGTCAGATTGCACACATTTATAACAGTAAATGTTAGCATAACTAGGATTTATAGAGCAAGAGAATTTCATCTGGGGCTGGTTAAACTTGGCCTACCACTGGAAACAATAAGGGTTAATTATGCTTCAGTAATTCTGACACCTTTCTGATGAACAATTCATCTCTGTTGGACCAAAAAACTGCCATGATACTAGGAAACTTTTGACCTTGAAATGACGGAGGAGGATTTTGACAAAGAAATTGCAAAGGTGACAAATGAGAAGGCGACCAACATAGGTACGAGCAGCAATGAAAAATACAGTCAAGTAAAGGTGGGAAATGATCATCTAACTCAACCATCATTTTGCAAGCGATCAAGTTGTCATCTGGCTTATTTGGGGGCAAGCCTTCAAGAAGACAACATGTCTGTGATGATTTATGCACTGAGATTAAAGATTTGAAGGAGGTTACTGCTGTGTCCTGCTTTGGGAAAGCATTGGGGGATGAAGGGACATCCCTCCCTGAGCCACTGGACCCCAGGCTATGGAGGATGACGGTAGGGGCACCAAGCTGGAAGCCCGCAGTGAGCAGCTATGTAGGTGGGGATACAGGGAGGGCTTTCTGCCTAGGAATATCAGGGGACCTCAGGAGGCAACTGCACTGAATGCATGGTGTTGGTCTTCACTTTCTCCCCATGGAGAGCCTGCTCCTAGGCATAGTTAGCCATGTCTTGAGCAGAGTTCCTGAAGAAAGAAGTTTCTCTGCCTTACCAGAGCCACCTAATACAGAAGACAGTCTAACTAAAAAAATGTGTTCTGTTCTTTATAGCCGTGCTGGGACATCAGCACCATATTCACCTGCTTTTGGTGGTACTTAAAATTAGCAAATCGCAGCTATCTTCTGAATCTCAGTAAGCACCCTGCTTTCTGAAACAGTCCCAAACTAGGGAGAGGATGGCCGTCTCTTCTACATCAACCAGCTTTCATTGAATGTATCTTAGATTGGCGATTACAGTCAAATAACTTATTGACATATTAAAATTGTTGTGTGCACAGTGCAAAGCATTTGCCAATGTCCGGTTATTGTATTTACTGTGGCAATACTGGCAAGAAGCCAGGGAAAATGAGTTTGGGCCTGATTAATTTTTCAAAGGCCATGAAGGAAAAAAAGAAGAAAACAAGTTTTTAATTTGTACTGGAAATCACATGCAGAGCCTGTGTGTTCAGTCTTAACTCTGGGATGTGCACATTTCTGGAAAATTATAAATGTGTTATTGGATTTTACATCTAGATATGTTGTAATAAAAATACCTTGAAATGCAGTTTTTTATTATGCTTTTCATAGTGTTTGTAAGGGATTAACTCAGAGCATCTCTGCCTTGCATGGCAAGGATTATTTAGATTGCTGCACTACTGATTTTCACAGTTTTTACCTTTACCACAAAATACAGGTGTTGGTCCATTGAACAAAAAGTCTTTATTGGCTAACATTGAAATGAACCCTGTAGAGCTCATGGGAAAGCTCCTTAGTCAAGGTGTTGGTGCCTGTTCAAAAAATTAGTTGATTCCTGCCCCCCCCTACCCCCCCCCCGGAAAATGGCTTTGGATTTAATTTTGTTTTCTTATTTGTTTATTTTTATTTTATTTTTTTTTTTAATGCCAGAAAGGAGTGTAGACCCAACACCAAACAATGGGTTTTAATTTTTTTCCCCATTATGTTTTCCCTTCCCTTCCCTGCTCTGTAGTGGAAAAAAAAGAAAAAAAAAAGAGGTTTTCATCTAAGTATTTCCTTAAAAAGTATAGTTCTCAAATCAATTCTATTTGTTATCTTCTGTGTTTGTAAACAGCAGTCAGGTATTCCTGTGCAAGTTATGCCATTTTAGATTAAAAGTGAGAAAAAGGAAAGCAGGTGTAAATTTTGAAATAGAAAGACAATTGTTGATACTTGAAAAATATGAGGCTTATTCCCAAGATGGCAACTGGATCTGCAGGCAGCAAGCCCCAAATCAAGGGGCACAGACAGGTGAGAGTCATATTTACAGGATGTGGTTCACCATCTCCTTTTTTTTTTTCTCCACCCAATCTCCGTGTGCAATTTTTACTTCTTCATGATAGGTAGGTTGGGAATAGCCTTGGAAACACAGGCGTCTCTGTGTATCCATACCTCTAGGTCTAAACGCAGAACACACAGACTGTCCTTAGCTTTGTATTCTGCAGGCATTTCCCTGGGATGTTAATAAATTAGAGACACTTCCTTTTCCCTTCAGCTGCAATGCTGGTTTGTCCCCATTATACAGTGATAACCCAAATGCTGTAGAAATCACTTTATACTTGATTATCTTCCAGACAAATTATCTGCTGTAGGATTTGGTTTTTATAGATTTTTTCATAGATGTTCTAAGCCCTTGTAGCACATTTTAGTGAGAGTTTATACAGCTTTGTTAGCAGCTCAGTGTTTTCAGTATTTAAAGTCTTTGACATACACTATTCCTAGCCAAGGAATTTGTTAGTGGCTGATGTAGTTATTTTTCACAATGTCCTGTCTTTCAGCAGTAAAGTCCAGCTCCATCCTTCCAAAATGAATAGGGTACAGGTAATATCTATAGAAATAAAAAGCAACAACAAAAAAACAACAACAACAAAAAACAAGACTCCACAGCAATGCCTTTTCCTCCACTTTTTGACCAGAAGTGAGGGCTCTTGGCACTGAAGAGAGTCCCTGGTAATAAACTGGTTACTCTTCAAGATTCATCCCAAGCCAACACCCTTTCTGCTGTCATGAGAGACCTTGGTTTTGTTAGTGATACTCTTTTCCATGAACACCACCTAGATGAAAAATGACAGAGACAAAAGTTTAAAGTGTTACCTAGCCTAAGAATTGGTGGTTAGTTAGGGGCTGGAATAATTGTGGAGAGGAACAGGTGAGCATGGAGTATTTCATTCCTTTTTAAGCATTCCTTGGGAGCCTTAAATATGTGATTGAAGAAGATATGACAGAGGCAGGGAAGAGATGTCAGAACTGCTAACATGCATAGCTACAGAAAATCAGTTTATGTGAGCCCAGAAGCCGAGCAGATAATGGCCCAAGAAGTGATTTCCTGCTTACTTGACAAACATAAGCAGTCTCATATTTTATAAGTACACAAGCTATCCTTGCAACTTACAGCCATCTCTTTACAATGGTCTGGAGCATCAACTTGTTTCTGTATTGCAATTCCAGCCACGTCACTTTCAATACAGAGGTGCACGCTGGTCAGAAGAGCAATTTAATCAACTCTAAGAGCTACAACGTGAATTCAGAGTTCTGCCACAAAATGCCTTGCAAGACTTTTTTAAAAAAACAACTGTGTGGGTTAATTTTTGCCTGCCAACTGGCTTTTAAGCCTTTAGAGTTAGCCTTGTCAGTCCTTAGTTTTAACCAGTCTCCCCATGCAGAAGCTGGGAATTAAATACAGGGAGAATGCAGACGCTTTGCTGAACACTGTTCCCCTGTCCTGAGTGATTCCACCTAATGTTAATCCAATGTTTAGTCACTGTCTATTCACCACCTGCTCTCCCTCTGTTCACTGTTCATTTTCACGTTTGTAAGCAGCAAAGAGCTCCTTACAGGAAAGGCTTCTTTCCACCCACACGGAAAAAAGAGGAACACAATTCTCAGTTATTCTTTCCAATTGACTAACCACATCGATGTACAGGGCAACCTGAAAAGTTTAAGTAGAAATAAGAAAGAAAATTAGAAATAGGCGATTTAATAGGCATTAGAAATAAGACAACTTTAGAAAGCATGTATTAAAACATGTCTGGAAATAAAAAAAGACCTAGATGAAGATTCTTGTCCGTGTTTTCAAAGACATTACTAACTTCTAAAGTTCTCTTTAATAATTCTGAGTATTTCACACATCACAGACTTGAAACATCGAAAGACATCCCATCTTTTTAATTATTGTGTCTCTTTCTTTCAAGAAGATGTCGCTATGGAAAAACTATTAAAAAAAGAGAAGGGGAAATAATGAATATCATTATGATAGGGAGAAAAAATAATAATAGGTAGTACTCAAAAGGCAAACAAGGTTATTATGATCCGAAAGTCAGGAGAGGAATAATTTCAGCACCAATAAAGTTGTCATCATAAAAGCATTTTATAGAAAGGGCAAAGAAAGTGTGTGATATGAAGGTATTTTATAAAATCTGAATGGAGAAATAAATATATGTAGGAACTCCAGCAAGTTCTAAATCCATCCATCAAATTCAGATGAATTTTAGTGTCATGCATTTTTGGTTTTTAGATATTTGTGGAAATTAATTTCAGCATTGTTTCATATTGTCTGCTAAATAGAATAAACTTCAGATTAGAGCCCAGTGCCAAGTTGTTTGACAGTAATTAGTGAAACAAGAGATTCTCTCAGTATTGACAATATCCCTTGCATGAGAAATAAACCAACAAGGCATTTACGGGAGGCTATCTTATGCTTTAATAATAACGCTGACAATGATCTTTAGTGTCTTGTAGTCCCACCTTCAGATTGCCTGATGTTAACTTACTAACTAATCACATTCTTATTCTGAAGCGCTTCCCTCTTCCTGCCAAGAAAAATGGGTCTGCACAGACAGCTGAATGACAGAAGTAGTCCATGAATAAAGTCGCTGCTGTGAAGAGCCACGGAGGTCTAAAAAGTTCCACACTTAGGATCTATTTCAGAACCCACTGGGCTCAATGGCAAAGACCCCAAAGACCTTGACTGGGTGCTAAAGCAAACTGACATCTTTGTGTGCACAAAGCCCATCCCAGGCAGCTGGTGATCTTCCAGAACTAACAATCTGTTTTGTTGTCTGTCTCTGGAAAAGGATGACAAATATTCCCAGGCTTGTAATAGTCAAATAAACAAATACAGAATTATGAAAGGCAGTCACATTTACAATTCAGACAACTCCCCACATGCAAGTCTATTTGCTCTCAGATGTAAGCATAGAGAAGCAGAAGAAGTGAGCAAAGCATGACTTGAAGATGTTTCTCTTCAGGATTC